TAAGTCTATCTAATTTTTAAATCTGAATCAATTTATTAATCATTTGATGTTTACATTTCGTTACTTGATTTATGTTTTATTTCCAGAGACAAAGGGAAGGTGCTGAGCCTTCCATGTTGCGAGTTCTAAGAGATACTCATAGGAGACCAGATGGTACATATGCTGATTCAAGGGCTGAGTACATTGATCATAAGATTCAGTGATAGCTCGAACTAGAAGCTCAGAGATAGGTCGAAGAAGCAGCTCTTGGATTCAAAACAGCATCAACTGATGATGCTGGAACTGGTCGTTCGGCTTTGACTCAACTTGATGAGGATGAGTTGTTCTAGCAGGTAAAAATCCTATGTCTAACTGTTAAATTAAATTAAATGCAGTTTCTTCTATTGGGCTGGAATTTCTATAAAATCATCATCTTATTGTGTCATGTTTTTTTTGTTTTTTTGCCTTGAAGCTTGTCTCGCCAAATCCATCAGGTCATGTGTTTGGTGTTGGTGGACAGCCGCCTATACGCGAGCGAGCTGAGAGTTCGACTATGGCAGCCACATGTTTCATCCTCGAGCACCAAGTGCGGGTATTGGAGGAGCAGTTCTCTCTTGGGGTACAGCAGATGAATCGCTACTTTCCATGTGATGGTACTGAACCATACATTCCCACAGCTCCGCGCACTCAGGAAACTATGGATTCCGCGACTAGTCCTGCTTGCGTTGAAGATATTCGCAACGAGCCAACTTTCGAAGCAGCTGAAGATGTAGAGGATGGAGAAGAAGGAAGGACGATGAAGCCTTCGTAGCTTCCTGAAGAGTACTTCCTCTACTCTCTAATATAGATATGCCTGATCTTTTGAAAAATTGTGATCCAATTCTTTTTGGTAAATATGGTTGATGTGTTATTATAATTTTTTTCTTAGGCTAATTGTAGAAGGCTAATTATAACGCCTGTGTTCGCGGTTTTGGCCGACGCGGATGAGAGACCGAGTCGCGATGGGCAGTTTTGGCCAAGAGAGTTGAATTCGGTAAAGTAATCTGAGCTGGGCAGTTAAATCCGAGCTGGGCGGATTTTTCAGGTTACGGTCTGATTTTGGACATGACGGTTACCATGGTCGGTTTCGGACAGGACGGTTACTGGCTCGTGTTGTGACACATGAGTTTTAATGAAAACACGCGGGAACAGTTATTTCTGGGCCTTAGACGCGAAATTGTGTGGGAACGGTTATCTGACGGTTTCTGAGGCGGTTTATTAAGGCGAAACTTCCCCATTGCCTTAATTTTTACGCGGAGAAAGAAGAAAAAGACTTAGAAAGATTTTGAGAGAGATTTTCCGAGAAAAGAGAGAAAAGGCTTGAGAGAATTCTTGAAAGGCTCGAGCGAGGGTGACTGTGACCGTGTATATGTGAGGCGAACGTGTCTGGGCGTATCGGTGATCATGTCTACGTGACGGATCATCGAGACAAGAGGTGTCAGAACTAAGATGGGACAAGCAATCATCGAACCTAAGTGACTAAGATGAGTGCGTGACCGTAGGCCTAAGTCTAGGGTCGTTTTCTTGCATAGATTCATCGAGTCTAGGGTGATTCTGACTGTGTTTATCTGTTTCTGGCTTGATCATGATGATTGATCCCTTTCACCGAGAGTTTAGATCAGGCAACACGTTTAGGGGCAGCGATGTTCGCTAAGGTTTGTCTGGTTGACGGGTGACTTGGGATAATTGGGCCGACAAGTGACTGATGCGATGAGCATATGATTGACTGATGTTATTGACTGTTTGATTGCGATTTCTATATTGTGGCTAAGTGGGACGGGATGACCGCTCTTACTAAGCAATTATGTTGCTTATGCCTCCTTTGTGGATGCAGGTAAAGAGATTTCCAGTGATGGGAATGTTAACCGCGGTGACTTAAGGCTCGGAAAGGAAGGGTGGTGGATTGAATCGGGTAGCTAGGTCTTTTGCAATGTAATAGCTTATTAGCGAACTGATCATTGTAACTGAAACCTTGCGATTTAATCCAAGTATGAAGTTTATGCTTAAAAAGTCTTGTCTAGATCGAAAATATGCTAAAAATGGCTAAGTTCTTTGCTTGAGGAT